TGAGGAGAGGAGACTATTAATCAATAGGAAACTAGTTAGTAACAACAGAAGAGGCCAATGGGGTGCAATGAAAGGTTGGCTAATAGCAAAGACCTTTGAGGCAGGAGGAGTGGAAGGATGAGGCAAAGAGGTATTTTTCAGAAAGGAAGAAAACCAAAAAATTAGAGCCATGGTCACTTCAAAAGTCCTGCCTCTTCTGAACTGTACCAAGGATTTTTACTTTTTTTTTTCTACTGCAAACTGAGCATTGCCATTAATTGTGTGTTCACCACTAATCTAACCGCAATGAGATGTTCTAGATCTCAAAATACAGACGAAATCTCAAAGTCAGAAATATCCATTCTGCAGAAACATTGACCACTAGCCACATATACTATTTATGACCAAAGAAGCACATGCCTTCCCCAACTCATCATGATACAATCCACTTTTGCTTTCCTTCCTTTTGCTGCTTACTTAACACCGTAACACAGATTATGCACTGCACACAAAAACATGATGATTGCAAAATTTGGATATAGCTTTGCTTGAGGCAATTAGGCTCCATTACATATGTGTTATAACAACCCCAATATACACAATCACATACTCTTTTCAACAAACCTCAGTTTTATTTGCTGCACATGACAAATACATTCTGGAGATTAATTAGGAATAGTCAAGAAGACTCATCTACTGAATCCCTGATGATTATGTTGGAAGGTATCTAGTGAATAAAGCATGGACTGCAGAAAGATTATCTCATGGTAAAAGAAAATGAGCGTTACCCAGAAGAGACTGACTCTATTACTATCTTTGCTAGATTGAGACCAGTTAAGCAACATGAACCAAGCCTTCTACAGGTGGTTAACTCCCTTCCTCACCTTCCAGCTGTACAGGTTAGTTTCAAAAAACCTGGGGTCTCTAGTTTACCAGCACTGTTGAGGGCAGGGTGAGTGGCATTGCCATCCTTTTTCTTCCCATGCCTCTACAAAATGCAGACTACTTTCTTCTTTCGTAAGGAAAGTGTTCCACAAAGTTGGAGGCAGTAATTGTAACCTACACAGGAAAGTGTACTGCCAGCTAACAGTCTTCACGTGAAGAATGTGAACAGCATGCAGGAATAAGGCATGGAACCGTAAGATGAACACTTAATCGACTATCAAATGGAAGCTCATTACGCATGCACCACACACCTCGTGTCCTGAGTAAGTCCCACTTATAATTTTCCCACTGAAAAAATTATACAATGTTATGAGGAATACATCTCAATATATAACTATTGTGCTGTGGTGGGTTGACCCTGGCTGGATGCCAGGTGCCCACCAAAGCCACTCTATCACTCCCCCTCCTCAAGTGGACAGGGGAGAGAAAATATAATGAAAAGCTTGTGGGTTGAGATAAGGACAGGGAGAAATCATTCACCAATTAACATAATGGGCAAAACAGACTTGACTTGGGGAAATTAGCTTAATCTATTACCAATCAAATCAAAGTAGGACAATGAGAACATAAAAACTCAATCTTAGAAACACCTTCCCTCCACCCCTCCCTTCTTCTTGGGCTTAACTTCACTCCCAATTTTATCCACCTTCTCCCGCCGAGCAGCGCAGGGGGATGGGGACTGGGGGTTGCGGTCAGTTCATCACACCTTGTCTCTGCCACTCCCTCCTCCTCAGGGGAGGACTCCTCACACTCTTCCCCTGCTCCAGCATGGGGTCCCACCAACAGGAGACAGTCCTCCATAAACTTCTCCAACGTGGGTCCTTCCCATGGGCTACAGTTCTTCACAAACTGCTCCAGTGTGGGTCCCTCCCACAGGGTGCAGTCCTTCAGGAACAGACTGCTCCAGCGTGGGTCCCCCATGGGGGTCACAAGTCCTGCCAGCAAACCTGCTCCAGCCTGGGCTCCTCTTCTCTCCATGGGGCCACAGGTCCTGCCAGGAGCCTGCTCCAGGGTGGGCTTCCCATGGGGTCACAGCCTCCCTCAGGTACATCCACCTGCTCCAGCATGGGGTCCCCCATGGGCTGCAGGTGAATATCTGCTCCCCCGTGAGCCTCCATGGGCTGCAGGGGCACAGCCTGCCTCACCATGGTCTTCACCACGGGCTGCAAGGGAATCTCTGCTCCGGTGCCTGGAGCACCTCCTCTCCTCCTCCTTCACTGACATTGGCATCTGCAGAGTTGTTCCTCTCACATATCCTCACTCCTCTCTTCAGCTGCAGTTGCACAGGTTTTTTTTCCCCCCGCTTCTTAAATATGTTTTCCCAGAGGTGCTACCACCATTGCTGATGGATTCGGCCTTGGCCAGCAGTAGGTCTGTCTTGGAGCCGGCTGTCATTGGCTCTATTCGACACAGGGGAAGCTTCTAGCAGCGTCTCATTGAAGCCACACCTGTAGCCCCCCTGCTACCAAAACCTTCCCACACAAACCCAATACAGCTGCACTGGCAACCTAAACTTAACATTTCTTAACATGTAACTGCATCTTACTAGTGTTTTTCTAGCACTGTGTTTATTTGCATGTTTGTGCAATTTCCCAGTTTTAAAATCAAGCTGAAAAAGTTTCCTCATGTTGCATCACTGATGCTTCTATTTGTGAACTGCACAGATCCACCAGAGATGATTAAGTAACTCATAGACGGAACTCATGTTTTCATCTGCAAAAGCAGAACTGAGAGGCTAATGAGATATTTTACAGAAGAATTCTGATGTTTCATCAATGGCAGAACACTAAATTTTCAGTATCTTTAGTTTGATTCAAGGACCTGGAGAGAAATAGGCACATGGATTTGTTCTCTCCACCCTACTTTGCCCCAACTTTGCATTATGCCAACCTGTTTCTTTGTCCCAATTTCTGTGTTTTTCACTTGTGCAATTCCAGTCCCCATTCTGCGACTGTCCCACCAATATCTCCTCTCAGCTTCAGTCCCTTTGCTCAGTCTTTCCTAGTTCCTTATTCAACTTATCTTCACCTCAGTTTCTCTAAGTCCATGGCATAAGTCTCTTTTCCCTTATACATCCCTCTCTCCAACTAACACAGATGCAGCTCTATTTTTCATCAGATACAGATCCACTTCCACACTGCTTCAGTCTGAAGTGGAAGAAAAGGAAAGAGCAAAACGAAGCAGATCAGCATTCCTGCTCGGAGTTCAGGCAAGGCCTAGATTAGGCCAGAGCTGTAACTGCAAGAATGTACTCAAGCTGGAACATGCCAATGCAGACTACATCTGTGGGAAATTATCTAACATCTAGGAAGTCTCCATTGGGTCTATATAAACCAGTTTTGCAAAGGTTTAATCAAGTGACAAAATCTGGGCAAATTTTCAGAAAGCACAAAAGGTATATCCTTGACACAACCACCAATCTATCCAATTTAAAGTCTCCGTTCCAAACCATAAGGATTAGTATTATTTAAAGTAAAAAGTCACTAAGATTCTTCCCTTGCCTTGTTCTCCAAAGGACTGAACAACATGGAAAACCACATTCCAAGTGTCTAAACTTTGTCAGTATGGACTTAATTTAGAAGCTGACACACAATCAAAACAGACAATGTTACCAGCTTTACCTATGCAAACAAGAACTTAAATTACATGATTCAAAGGAAAAAAAAAATCAATATAAGAATGCTTTTTAAACTGTAGCTTAATGCCTGTAAGCACTTTCTCAACACTAATGAAATCCTTCTTCATAAGTAATTTTCCTTAGCCTCCAATGGATAAGAGGTACATCAATTTCTTTTCTTCTCGATGTGAAATACAATGCCTTCACTGTAATCTCACAGGCATTAGTAAAGTATTTAAAAATCCTATGAGCATTCATGTCAGCTGCATGCCTTATTGTCTTCCTACAAGAAACAGTTTTAATTAAAAATCTGTGTTGAGACACCAGTGTTGCTGTAGAATACTGTTTAAAGATAGAAAACATAATGATTTTGTGCTAAAAGGATAAAATTATATGATCTCAGTGATACCAAAATTTGTAACTTCCAGCTTCAATAGTACACTTCAGGATCAGAGGTCAAAATTTTTCCTTTTAAATCATGCATCACTGTCAGTAATAAACATTTCCATAGTTTTGCAATTCTTTTGAATGAGAAAATCCAGCCTTCTTGAAAACATGCAGTTAAAAAAAAAAAAGAAAAAAGGGAACACACCTAATTATTTCCCACCTTTTGCTGAGTTATTTTTCAATCCATAATACAGCCACAACTGAGATCAAAGTAAGCTCATAAGGAGAGTTTCCTTGATATAAAAGAAGAGAGTTGTTGTCAGGACTCAGTGCAAACTGTTTCCTTGTGCTCTCTTTCATTTACCATAAATTGGTTCATTAAACCTTTGAGTCCAGGGAGAGACCATCTTTTCAGCTTTTAAAAAGCATAACAGTTTGAGGGAGTTATTATAGTACTTCATGTGTTTATAATTCAATAGATACTCATTTAGGTTTTAAATATGACAGCCTTTTGCTGTAAATTTTGTACAAAACTACCTACACAATAAACTCCACCTCATGGGAGTTCCTATGCCAAAATCTACAGAACACTATAAAAACAAGAAAACATTTCAGAAGATTTAAATGTGAATTCAACATCACTGAACACCACCAGAGACTGAGTTTACAAATTCTGAAATTTTTGCCTAGTAATTTACAGGTTTGCCAGTTTACATTTTGCTTCAGTGACTTTTGATCTTTGAAATGTTTCAAAATCTAATTCTTATAATATTTACTAAAGGGATATCAAAATAAGCTATGAGCCTAAAGAGAAATCTAGGAACAGAGAGTTAATGTACGTGGCAAAGCCCAATGCAACAGCTCAGATAAGTGCCAATAAAAACAGACTAATTTTAAAGCAATGATATTGTTTCATTTCCATTTGCAAGATTAAAGTGAGTATATACTCTGTATATCCTACAAGATGACACATACCAGAAGGCTCCATTTTTCCTGCTTCTTGAACAGTTTTCCCTTCTTGGCGTAATGCCAGCCAGAACTAACGAAACACTATACAATTCACTGCTATTACCTGCATCATGGGATACTTTGTTTCAGCGGGACTTCCAAATCCATTAACGCCAATGAAGCTGGTACTAAAGTAGGAATCTGTGAGACTAGCATCAGCTAACCCACCGCCATCTATTCCGGGAACTAAAGGGAAAAAAAGAAAAGTGTTTCAGAAAAAATTTAGTTTACCATGTGTTTATTTGCTAATATCTCTTACATAATTTTTTTGGCAGGGGGGTAGAATAGCAAAAGGTTGGTAACACTATTTCAAACTTATCTTCTCAGCCAAACAACTAAAAACATATTAGCACACAGAATGAAAAACTTTACGAGGTTGCTAAATGACAGCATATGCAGCATGAAGTTACAGCACAAATGCAGAAAGAGGCAGAAAAATAAAAAGCTTTGACAAAAACGATGAGGAGTTCAAACTTTAGAAACAAGAATAACAAGGCAAGTAATGGTATCAGAAAGAAAATAAACCAACTAAAAAAAACCTAGAAGGCAAGCTGATTTTAAGAAAACCTATATTCTTGCATACACACCTTGTAATGTATCTGTCAAATAGGGTTTTTAACTGGATGTACTGGTTCTTTTAAAGGGTAACACACAGAAAATGTACATCTAAAAATATCTCAAGTCCTTTCACATAAAGCACAAACATTTTAGAAGCTTCCTTAAGAGCTTAAGACTGGTTTTATTATCCCATACTTCATAAAGTGGCAAAAATTTTATGAAATGTGGCCAAAAAACTCTTTTGGACTGAAAGCAAGTGTGAAGGATGTAAGAAGTAGTTAATCCCCTGTCTAGAAACAAGGGCCTTGACATACAAGCACAGTACTTTAACCACAAATAAATGAATTCAATACTGTGAGACTACAAAGAACAACAAGAAGCAGTCATAATTAACACAAAACACTCAAGCAGGTATTACTTCGATAGCAAAAAGAGAGTTTGCAATGGTGTACAAGCTACAGTTCAAATTAAGCTTCCACAAAAACACCCACAGCAAATTAAAAAGACACTAATCAGTATGGCCAGGCCACTGCAAGCCAACAGGCATGAGTAATTGGTAGCTGCAAGGTAGGAAGGCACGCATCCAACTCAGAAGAACATCCTGTACCAAACTATCCAACTTGAACTTCTGGGAGGACTCGCAGCCAGCCAGTGACACCCGGAAACAACTTCCTGATCCTAATCCTCAAAGGCAATAAAATCCAACTTTGTGGCAGAGCTAAAGGAATGCAGATTATAACCCTTCAAACTTCATCAAAATAGGAGCTTTCCCTCCAAAAGAGACTACATAACCTGGTGAGCCATTTCCACGCTGTAGGCACAGGAAACAGCAAAAGAAGTACAGCCAGATGAAATCATAGGAATGGCTGGAAGAGGAGAATGACTAGCACCGTCCATACTACAGACAGACGGAAACACTGCCCAGCTGCACTCCCCGAGACTGGAGCTATATGAACTAGCCAACCAGGGTAACACCAACAGCACCTCAAATGAAGAGCTCTGTGTGGAGAGAGATGAAATAAACTGAATACTTCAGTTACAATACAGATCAGCTTTGCAAGTGGAAGAGATTCTGAAAGTATTGCTGCCAAGCCTAGAACATTACTTGTATACTCTGCAGGTTTGAGGGACACACCTAAGGAACTTTAAAGATGCTAACTACTAATGAATTGCAACATTTTTTTTTTTTTTTTCAAGTTTTAAAAGTTAGCTAAGAAAACAGGAAAATAAAACTCCCTCCACTATCCATGCCCTAGGTCTTCCTTCATAAGAAGCAGCCACATAGGAACTTCACAAGTCCTCTTGCTACATCCCTAAAAAAGACAAGGCTTTTTTTGCTTTGTCTATTACACATCTGTTCCTCTTTTGCCTTCATTTGGGAAATTTACATTCAAAAGCCTAGGGAAAGTATTTTAGGGTTGAACTACTGTATCAGGGAAAATATTAATGTCTGCTGTAACATCAATTACTGTCTCATCCTACCTGCTACAGTCAGTCTCTAACTCACACTTAAGTTTAGCATTTTAACACAATCGTTTTCTGGCATCATGAAAAACACTACAACTCGGTCATACAAGAAAACCAACAGATAGCAAATCCATGTTTAATTATGAGTATTTTCAGTCTAGTTTGCTCGTAAATTATTCAGGGTTCACACTGTGTTTTTTATTTTAAAAATGCATTTCCAATATAGCTTTCTCTGCCTGCGTTTCAGCCATTATCAAAAACTGCTGCAGTTTTTATGCTGCATCTTGACTGTAAAAGACCAAGAAAAACTGTTTAATTTTCAGCAACAACTGTCATTTCAAGGTACACTACATAATTTCAGCAGTGTATCTGCTATTTCATCTTATACTTCTGTCAGAAACTCCAGATTCTATCAAATTTTTAACAAACTAGCAAACAACTCCCTCAGATTACACCATCAGCTTTACAAATCCTTCAGCCTCCGTTGAAGAATTAAGAAACAGCCGATTCTTTCTGCTTCTTCCCCTGCTCCTCACTGTGCTAGGGTCAACGTGACAACCCATGTACCTTCATTTCTCTGTTGGACACATACAGTTAATGCACAAAATCCTTAAAACTTGACAGAGACAAATAAAAGCTTCCAAGTTTTGCCACATTCAGCAGCACGGCATGTAAAGAGCCCCCTTGGTGTGAAGAAACCCCAGGGCTCACCTCCAACAACTCCAGTCAGCTGGTACGGCTGCAGTCACCCACTACCCAAGAAAGCACTGGAGCCGGTGCAGGTAGCCTTGCAGGGCACATATACAGCACCAGGTGCTCTGCTCCTCATCTGACTGAAGCATCCTCAGTGCCAGGCAGCTCAAGCTGCAAGCAGGAACAGGCTTCAGGCAGCAACCCCAGAGCTGAGCAAGGCCAAAGACGCTGCTGGGAATGACAAAGTTCATCTTTTGACACTGGTGCCTTTCTACTGCTGGTATTAGCTATGCAAGCCTATCCAAACCTCTTAAAGCTGCTCAAAGCTACAGTTTAGGCTTTCTACTGGCGTACCGATATCTAACTGGGCGCTCCAGATAGCAAAAGCTGCTGCGGAACGTTTTCTTTTATCTAGCTGTATGAAGACCATCTCTCTACTGAAGTGCAATGGTTTGGCCATACCGATCAGCCTCCTTGTGCCGTTACTACACATCACTGATCCACCTTCGTACCACTCAATTCTACTGCTACCATAACAATTTCAAGATAGATTTCAACTATTGAGGCTTTCTATTGTCCTCTTCCAAACAGTCTAGAAACACACCTCTAGCGGAGGGACCAAGACCACAAGAAAACATATTCTGCAGTTTTGACCACAATCAAAAGAAAACCAACAGAAGTAAGCTCAGTGGAGCAGAGGGCAGTTTTCTTGGCAATAGCTCATACTTAGAACAGACTGCTCTGGAAGTTGCAAGTATAACTGTTGCCTTCGAAAGAAATCTCAACACTAGCTTCCTTAAACTAACATCTCTATAGTAAAAAGCAAGAAAATTAAGACTAACAGAAAAGATGCAGCTTACATAGGTAGAAAGAAAAAAAGTAATTCTTGCATTGTCTATAGAACCAAAAAAGAGTGTTCACTATGTACTCCATTTCTGTTCAAAGAAGGGACATTCAGCTGTTACTGTGATGAAAACTCAGCAAATACCTAAAGAGCCAAGGCAGTTTTACTGTATTTGGCACCTGGCCTTCTCCATGAGAAGTAGAAGGCTTTTATCCTCCTTCTACCAAACGTTTGGCAAATCATAAATGCTCACTTGCTTCTGGAAGACCACTGTAGTTCAGAGCATGAAAGAAGAAAAGTGATTTATCATAAGCAATCCATAGGAGAAGCTCTTCAGAAGTGGGCACACTTCACCACACGAGCAGTGTGGTATTAAAAAAAAAAAAAACCAAACCCAGAGAAAGGAAAGATCTTAGTCCTTATAAAGTTTTTATTCTCACGTGTTTACTAATTTACATCAGACCCTGCATTCTATTTGTCTGTCCAGTTCTTGCCTATATAACAATCGCAAGCACACACTTTCAAACACTCTGCACACAGTGCTATTAGAATGACAAATAAAAAACAACTTCTGAGGTTTATGTCTTTTCTCTTTTAAAGCATTGATTATAACTTCAGGTAAGTAAGTTCAGACAATTTTAGGAAAGTCTTAAATTGGTTATTTTTGTCAAAGGAACATGCCTTTCTGTTGTGCAACAATACTATCCATGCATTGAAGTCATACATATTTTCAACAGGCTCTTCCTCAGAAAGAAACAACAACTTCCTTATAGAAGTAGAAAGGCTGACTAGGCAGGTCTGAGAAGAAAAGATGGATGTGCAAGGGAACAACTAGGAATCCAGTGGGGAAAAAAACGCTAACATGTTGTGTAAGCACATATGTGAAAACAAGAAGAAATTTCTAAATGCCATCAATATTAAAGCCAGAAGTTACATTCTGGCAATTCTAGAAAGAAATTAAATAAAACATCCTGAGAAATTCAGAAGACATATTTTACTTTTTTATACACACATTATCTAATAATTTTTTGCTTGGTGAGTAACACTGCAGCTTAATGTGACAACTGCAATTAAAAATAAATGTCTTCTTATGTAATAATTCTCCCACAGAATTTTAGCAGAATGTAGGCTTCCCGTCAGATCCAGGCACCAAAGAATAAAAAAAAAAAAAAAAAACCAGATAGTTATTTTTGCCTTACTTATTACAAAGACATTTTTCAGGAACAAAGGATCTCATCACAGCTTAAGCACTTGAGTACTACTGTGATGAACTCAACACACATGCTTCAACAGAATCAGTGGGTTTGGCTGGTTTTAGTTTAACGCTCATCTTGTCTAATGCTAGCACTATATGAATACTAACAATAACACTCTGAAAAGATGGCGTTTCTGATATTTTCATTCTAACATTTTATTAACCAGTAAACAAATACTGTAATATCCTATACTGCTTCTTTTATGAACTTAGTATCAGCACTGATCATCTCAGAAACTGTTCTTCGTATAAAAAATGACCCTTTACAGTAAAGTGACATATTGCCCCAACAATGAATGGGCTAAAGTAAGATCACAACAGATTTTTGTTGACTTATTTTTCAAAACAACAATTTAAAGATTT